GCCGCCGCCCCGGCCCTCTCGCCGCCGCCCAAGGCCGTCCCCCCAAAACGTTAACGTTTCAGTCGTTAAACCATATTTTACATGAAATACTAGGAATGCATATTACACTATGACCTTAAAAAAAAAGACCCCGCTGTTTTATTAAACAAATCAAAGTCCACGCCCTAGAGAAACCGGCAATATCGCAAACCCAGTTTTTCCCTCTTGAGGAAACCCAGAGCCCTCCTCTTTTCTTATGAAGCGCCTGCATTTTTATTTGTAATAGGGTTTTTGTGACGTGTCAGTACTTTTTGCAGCACAAGGATGTCACTTCTCGACTTGAACAGAGGGTCTGTTCTGAATGTTGTTTTATGAAGCCTGAATATTCTGTCCCAGTCCTTCCCTGACGCAATGAAGAAAAGCTCCATGGATGTCCTACTCGGTATCTGGTAGGATGTGTTCTAAGACATGCATTTTCAATTATTTCTTCTTCTTCATCTAGTTACATATTTCTTAACGGCTCAACATGTTAACCATATTTTGCTTTTGAACTTCATTGTCACTCTCTTCTGTTCTTAATGTCTTCTGCCCTGTCATTTAGTTCAGGTTCCTTTCATCAGCCTTGGAAGATTCAGCAGGTCAATTTCCTTTCCACTAAATAATTATCTATTTCAATAGGATGTAGTTTGAGAGTAAACTTAATAGTTTCCATTAGCGGAAGATAACATGAATTTGATTCTTAATTACAGTGCTCAGGTAAAATAACTTAATAAAAACACCAGCAAAATGCCTTCAATGAAAAAAGAATTATAAAACATTTTACTCTTGTTTTCAATCTGACACTATCATCAAAGATGCAGAAGAGAACGGACCAGCTGGTTGTCACTTGCAGTATCTGTCCGCTTTCACTTTGGCTCTCCTGTATGGAAAGAGTAATGAAACAAGATTTAGATTAAGACCAAATATAATTACACCTGTGTGTTTTATCTGCCTTAAAAGTGTTAAAGAAGCACTGAAAGCAGTTTTACTTAGACTTTACTTCAAAGTACATATAAAAGCCTAACACTAGTTTGGATTTGTTAATTAACTTTTGTTTTCTTAAGGAGCCAGAACTGCAGTGTCTAAAGTTAACCTTGTCTTTTACTTCAAGTCACCATTAACTGTGTTTTGTCCACACTGGTATTCAGGTTCAGTGTGACTGGAAACCGACACTCAGCCTGTGATGGCCCAGGAGAGTTCTCACATCACTTGTAATTATCAGAAGTAGTCTTCTGCATTCCACCCACTGAATTAGTGCAAATATTTACACTGTATATCAATACAAAATGTTTTCAAAATTTAAGACAGTTTCTACAGTTTCAGCTCAGGGGAAAAAAAAAAATTATTCCCACTAGATAGCATTTATTAAGAACAGTCTTCATGTTATTTCTCATTAAAATACAGCTTTCTCCTCTCCAAAATGTTCTGGTGCCATAGGTATTGAAAATGTTAAAAAATAGCTTAATTTTTTTGATTAAAAAGATTAATCCCTCAACTTCTCTGTGCAAAACAAACTGAACAACCTAGTTAAAGATTTCCAAAGGAATTCACTTCTAGGCCAATTCAAAACCTGCAAACTTCAGCTAAAACTCAGAACAAAAGCAAGCCAACCCCAGAACTCAGGCAGAACACTGACCAGAGAGGAAATGCTCAACACCCCACATCTCTGAAATCTACCTTTCTTTTGTACCCTAGGGTTACTGTCATTCCATCTCCCAGTAGATTTTAGTAGTTTTCAGTACATTACTTCTTGCACTTGGAAGTACCTGTCAAGCAGCATTTCATGAAAAGTGCCTTCTTTCCTAGCTTTTCGGAGGGCTTTTGTATCTTCTTTGCTTATTTTAAGCTTTTTGTCTTGAAAGCTTTGGAATTTCTTTCTGTGAGGAGGAAAAAAGAAATGTAAAAAGTGTAACTTCTTTTAAGTTTTGTGTTTCAATAGAATAACATCTGCAGTAAGAATCCTAACTTCTGTTACGCAGTAGACAGCTCACCTAACAAACTCCAGCACACCATCAGAGTATCCAACATTGCACCAAGACCTCCACAGGTGAAAAACTATTCAGGGATTTTTTGGGGGGCATTCTAAGTGGGAATGAGCCCTACACAATGAGCACGATGTGGCTACAAGTGCTGAAGAGCTCCTTCTTGGACTACTAGCATGATACGTCATGGAGTGAAAACATGTTGCGTCGAAGTGGCAAGGTGCAGGCAGCTGGGGAGCTGCAGGGGTGGCCTCTGTGAGAAAAGCCCAGGGGCTGCCCCATGCTGGACATCATGGGTTCCATGATGGACCCACCACAGGACACAGCGAGTCCATGAGCAAAGCCAGTGCTGCCTCTGTGAAAACATATTTAAGGCAAAATGCCACACAGGTAGGGGAGAAGAGGAAAAAAAAAAGTGAAAAATGGCAGTGTGAATATCAAGGATGGAGAGGAGTGAGGAATGTTTCAGGTGCTGGAGCAGACACTCTCTCTTCCAGGCCATGGAGAAGAGCATGCCAGAACAGGGGAAAAGTGGGAAAGGTGTGGCAGAGAGAAACCAGTATGTATTGCCCCATACCCCCCATCCTGCTTGGGCAAGCAGGTAGAGGAGTCTGGAGTGAAACTGAGCTTGGGAGATGAGGGAAGGAAAGGTGTCATGTTTAATCTTTGTCTTTTGTTTATCACTACCCAAATCTACTTCAGTGGGCAACAAATTTAATTAATTTTCCCAAGTTGAGTCTGTTTTGCTTGTGACAGTAACTGGGACACAATCTCTGTCTTTATCTCAACCCGTGAGCTTTG